CTCCCAAAGTGCTGGGATTATAGACATGAGCCACCATACCTGGCCATTAAAGCTTATTTTTAAAAAAATCTAATATCATAGTTGCTCCCTTACTTAAACATTCCGAAGGCTACCCATTTTTTTCTAAAGATCCACAATCCTCCCCATGATCTGCAAAGCAGAGCAGAATTGGGTCCTTGTTCACTTCTCAACCCCATCTCTCCCATTCCTCTCAGTCACAAGGCTCCAGCCTCAGCCCCCTGAGCAGCCTAAGTCTTTCCCATTGCAAGGCCTTGTTCTTATTCTTTGCATAGGCACTTCCTGATCTTCAAGCTTTGGCTTACGCATAATTCCTTAGGGTTTTCCTGGACCACTCAGTCTAGAGTGTGTCACTCTCCCTATTACTACCTTAATGGCTCTTATCCTGCTGGATGGTTCTTGTAATATCTAATTTTAGGTGTCAACTTGGCTGGGTTATAGGATAACCAGACAGCTGGTAAAGCTTATTTCTGGGTGTGCCTGTGTGAGTGTTTCCAGAGGAGGCTGCCATGTGAGTTGGTGGACAGAGCAGGAAAGATCTGCTTTGATGTGGGCAGGAACTACTCAATCAGCTATGGGTCCAGTTAGAATAAAAAACAGAGGAAAGGCAAATTCACTCTCTCTTCTGGAGCTGGGACACCCTTCTCCTCCTGCCTTTGGACATCAGAACTCCAGACTCTCCAGTATTTGGAGTACACACACTAGCAACACTCCGGGCCTTCAGCCCTGGACTGAGCGTTAGACCATCAGCTTCACCATCCTAAGGCTTTCAGGCTTGGACTGAGCCATGCTATCAGCTTCCCTGGGTCTCCAGATTGCAGATGGCCTATCATGGGACTTCACAGCCCCCAAAACTATGTTAACCAATATCCCTGACAATCCCTTCTCAAATACCTATCATCTGTATCTGTATCTGTATCTGTATCTGTATCTGTATCTGTATCTGTATCTGTATCTGTATCTGTATATGTCGTGCTGGTTCTGTTTCTCCAGAGAACCCTACTATAGTTCCTCACTGGAATAGACAGTCCATGATGATAAAGACCTTTTCCCTACCAGACCATAAACAGTGTCTAATACAGAGCCTGGGCCACAATAGTGTTTGCTGAATAAAACAGGAAGGGCATCTGTCCTGCTCATCGCTGCATCCCACATACTGGATGCCCAGCAGTGGGGTCAGTGCATGCACAAGACCTGGAGACCCCATCACTTCAGTTAGTCAAGGGGTCTCAGAAGCAATTCCCAGAGATGATGAGTGGCTGGTCCAGGAATCCTGACCCCAAGGCTGGACCACTTTCCCAGAGTTTGAACTCCCTATGATGCTCTGAGAACATGTGACTTCACTGCAGAAAAAACACCAAAGCTTCCTTCAGTTCGTTAGGGAGGGACCCTTGTTCCCCACTCGTCACGTGCCTACTGAGGGGAGGGAATTCCCACTATTCCCCAGCAGAAGTGAGTGGATCAGCTTGGCACCACAGGATTCTAAACACTATCCTGCACATATCCTGCTTCAGCCCATGTGGAGCATCTGAGAACCCTGAGGTGAGTGTCAAAGAACTGACATTGCATAGATCATGTTCTCTTACCACACTTCATTTAATTTAGAAATCAAGACCAGGCAAGGTGGCTCACACCTGTAATCCCAGCACTTTGGGAGGCTGAGGTGGGCGGATCACCTGAGGTCAGGAGTTTTAGACCAGCCTGGACAACATGGTGAAACCTCGTCTCTACTAAAAATATAAAAATTAGCTGGGTGTGGTGGCAGGTGCCTGTAATCCCAGCTACTCGGAAGGCTGAGGCAGGAGAATCACTTGAACCCAGGAGGAGGAAGTTGCAGTGAGCTGAGATCGTGCCACTGCACTCCAGCCTGGGCAACAAGAGCAAAAAAAAAAAAAAAAAAAAAAAAAAAAATTAGAAATCAGTAACAAAAACTAGCTGGGAATCCCCCACACATTTGGAAATGTTAAGACACACTTCCAAAGAACTCAATGGTCAAATAATCATAACAGAAATGAGAAAATATGTGGAGTTAAACAATGAGAAAAAAATAGTACACCTCAAAACTTGAGGGGTTCATTGGTGATTTCGTGAGCAGCCACCATGCCCCAGGCACCGTACTAAGCACTGGGAATATCCCAGGCACAAAAAATGTTGTGCACTGTTAGGGCTTCATCTAGATTGGGGAGCTGAGCAGCAGCAAATGTGTGTGTGACGCCTAGGAAACCATCAGCTGATTTCCGAACGTCAAACGTGGATTCATGGAGGAAAAGGGCAGGGAGGGACAGGAGCTGGGGTGGGAGGAGCCATGACACTCACCAAGGCCTCCGGGAAGGGGGCAGGGAGGAGGGAGAGAAGTCATGAGAAAGAATCTGAATATTGAATTTGGCCGTGTACCTGTCACAAGCTGATCTTTTTACATGCACTAATAAACAACTTGACTTATTCAGTTAAATAAAAGAGTGAGGCTGGCCAGGCACAGTGGCTCACACCTGTAATCCCAGCACTTTGGGAGGCTGAGGTGGGTGGATCACCTGAGGTCAGGAGTTCAAGTCCAGCCTGACCAACATGGTGAAGCCCCCCGTCTCCAGTAAAAATACAAAAATTCGTGGTGTTCACTTGTAGTCCCAGCTACTCAGGAGGCTGAGGCAGGAGAATCACTTCAACCTGGGAGGTGGAGATTGAGGTGAGCCGAGATCGCACCACTGCACTGCAGCCTGGGTGACAGAGCAAGACCCCGTCTCAAAAAAAAAAAAAAAAAAAAAAAAGAATGAGGCTAATACAATCTATGCTAATCATGTCTTCGTGGGAGAAGAATGAGCTCCTCATGAAAGCAATTCTGCCTACAAGAGAGCACATCAGTACCAGAAGAGAGTGACGCTTCCTTTCTTGAATTGCTGGTTGTCTGGAGAGGGAAGGGAGCTGCAAAGGGAAGGGCAACAGTGCCAGCTGGTGCCAGGACAGAGGTGAACTCAGGTGCAGGTGAGGGATGCATGGCTTGCCCAGGCAGTGCCCCCTGCTGGAGCTCTGGGGCGTGCGGCCCATGTCTGTTGTGTGATGTTCAGACTCAAGCCTGTCTCTGCAGCAAAACAGATATGGCTTCCAGGAGCCACCTGCTGACCCAGCACTCCATGAACACACCACAGATGCTAAGTTCAGCACCAGGGGCTGGTTTTAGGCCGTTTTGCTTCTGGGAACAAACTGAAGTCTTTGATCTGCACAACCTACATTCTAATGAAAAAAGCAAACACACACCTAAGATAAAGTTTGGGTAGTGGTGAGCTGTGTGCAGACTCAAGGTGAAGAAACAGCTGTGACTGGGGGCCTTACTGTAGTCTGGGTGAACAAAGAAGGTCTCCTGAAAGCAATGTTTAAGCTGACACTCAGAAGCAAGCAGGAAAAATCTGTGGCACAAGTCTGGGAACACAGGGAAGAGCTGGCACAGTGCAGCTCAGCAGGCTCTGGAGTCAGGAGAAAGAGGAGGTGCTGGGCCAGGAAGGCAGAGCCAGAGCATGGGCCTGCGGATACGCTCTGCAGCTCAGATCTGATGCTAAGTGCAACAGAAGCTACTGAAAGTCGGAGGGCAGTAATGTGATTTCCCAATGCTTTTAAAGGATCACTCTGCCTGGGTGTGAGGGTTGAGCAGCAGGGGCAAGAGTGGTTGAAGGGATCTAAGTGAGAAAGGTTTATGGTGGAGATAGGAGGACGGGGAAAAGGAGGCACACTCAGGACCTATTTTGTGGGTAGAGACTCGCTGTGGGTGGAGGTGGAAGGAAAGTCAAGGACGACTCACAGGATTTTTCTTGAAGTGGCCAATGTGTATTGTTCTTTTGAGAGCTTTTACGTCAGGTGCAGTCCTAAGTGCTGTTACACACACACACACACACATACACACACAGAATCCTAACAAGATTCCAGTAAGGAAAGTACTATTATCTTTCTTTTACAGATCAGAAAACTGAGGCACAGAGCAACTGAGTAATGTCTTAATGTTGCCCAAAACATGCTGGCAAGCAAACCATGCCAGCCAGTGGTGACCCCAATGCCCCTGCTCTTACTCACTAGTCTGCACTGGCTCCAGAGGATCTGGAAGGAGGATGGGCCCTTCACTGAGGTGAAGGCTTGAAGAAGAAGATTTGGAAGAGGGCAGTTCCAAGTCCCTCCAGTGGAGCATCCTCTGCAGAAGTCCATTATCACACAGTAATGCCCATGGAACCAGCAAAGGCCAAGTGTGGGCACAGTCAGTGAGCTCAGACTCCATGAGGGCCTGTACTCTAAGACACCCTCACAGGGTGGAGACCGGAGGAAGACTAGTGCTGGAGAGGGAATGGGGCCAGAGGAGACATCTTACAAAGAAACCTTCCTCTGCTACAAAGTCAAAAGCTGGACAGAGCACAGAAAGCACAAATTGGAGCCTCAAAAGCTGGTTCTCACCACCATAACCAATATTCACAATAACATGAATTCGCTTATTTACTGACCTCCACCCTGTGTCTGTTCAGTAAAAGCACTCACTGGCTTCTAGATATTGATGCATACTCTTCCACTCCAACACAAGAGAATCTCACTACTCCTTGTCTTTAAAAAAATGGATTCCTCTTAAGAAAGGGGTAGGTAAAATTCTCTAAAATAAATCTGGGGAAAGGAGAAGACTGATGACCCATTTCTAGTTCCTCCTGGGGACACGAAGTGAAGAGGTTGTGACTGGATTGTCAAGAATTTGGTTTTAAGAACAGAACTCCACCAAATTGCACTTTTCAGGAAGTAAAGTCAATTAATGGCTTCTGCAAGAGTGTACTGTCTGCCTCTCTCTCCTTGGTCCATAGCAAGAAAAGCAACCTTGGTGTGGGGAGCCCCACCTCTGCGGAAACTGCTGCCAGCATGAGGGGATGGCCTGAGAGACTCAGGTGGGTTGAAAGTCAGCACACATGTGGTGCAAACATGCTGTCACTCTGAAAAGAAAGAGGATGACTCTGAAAGCTTACCACTGCTTCTGATGTGGACGGGTATTTCTGCAGCCCCGTTCTGGGGAAACTGTTCCTTGGACTCAGCAGGTGCAGCTTTAACTTGCCAAAGAGGATCTTCAACAAAGCAATACACACATGGTGAGGGAATCTCACATTGAGAGAAACAGAACATTACTATAGCAGAGTTCACGCCACCAGCCAGAGAAGACACACCCAAACAGACTTAACGCGCTTAAATTCTCATTTAGTACTTTTCTTTGATTTAAGGGGTTTGAAGTAATAAATCTCAATGTGTTCATTACTTGAGAGAGAACATGAAAAACTTTTATACTTTTCAAATAGTTGACATAAAATTTTTATAAATTCAAAATAAATCTCCCTTTAACTCCTGAATAGAAATACGTTTTATGAAAGAAACAGAATTCAGCTTTACCTCTCGAAGCTGATTATTGCTCATTATAAGAAACTGTTCTCCTGCAACAAAATGAGCTTCTTGTTCCAATTCCTTGAGACGAGCCTGAAAACATGATACACACAATTAATCTGATTCATAGCTTTCGCAATTTAAAATTATTTAATTTGTTCATCAAACAATTCCCAACAGCAATATGGGCATGGTGCCTTATGGCTGTCATACAAGCCCTTTGGGAGGCTGAGGCAGGAGGATCACTTGAGGCCAGCAGTTTGAGACCAGCCTGGGCAACATAGCACGACCCCATCTCTAAAAAAAAAAAAATCAGCCAGGCATGGTGGCGCACGCTGTACTAGCTATTTGGGGGGCTGAGGTGGGAGGACTGCATGAGACTGAGAGTTCAAGGTTGCAGTGAGTTATAACTGTGCCATTGCACTCCAGCCTGTGTGACAGTGAGACCCTGTCTCCACACACACATACACACACACGCACACTTCCCAAAGAAGGCTCTTAATAGAGTAATATATAACCTATCATTTATCAAAATAAGCATAAAAATACATATTTTGGCTGGGAGTGGTGGCTCACACCTGTGATCCCAGCACTTTGGGAGGCCGAGGCAGGTGGGTCTCTTGAGCCTAGGGGTTTGAGACCAGCTTGAGCAACATAGTAAGACCTCATCTTTACAAAAAAATAAAATAACAAATAAAAATATATATTTTGCCTCATGGTGAAATACTTAGGCTCACAGAAGCCTCCTCCCCCAAAGGTAAGAAAACGGAAAGAAGTAAAAATAATGGGAGGGTAAGAATGAATTCTCCAGCAATATTGGGACTAGAAAAGTGATCCAGCATCACACAGAACAAGACAGAAGCAGAAGGTATGGGAAACAGGCTGGTAGCCAGAATACATCAAGATGTCCTATACATCAGTAAGAAAAAATATAAAAATGGGCAAAAGACTTGAGCAGATCCTTTACAAAAGAAATTCCTAACAGCTAATGATGCTATGAAAAGCTAATCAACCCCATTAGTGTGAAATGTGACATAAAAAATGACAGCACGCAGGTCCAAAGCTCTGGAGTAGAGTGAGGAAGCCATTCTAAGGACTACCTGCATGACCTGAAACCCTGAAAAACAAAAACAAAAAAACAGGAACTTGCATTGAACCTCTGAACTGGGCCAAAGTGCAATGACCACAACATCCTGGAACACAGCTGGATTTTGCCAGTGCTGCAACACCTGAAGAGCAACAGCCAATGAGCTCAATGGACTCATGTGCTAAGCCAGTCGCCTCCACCAATGACAATTCTGTTGCAACAACTTGTGTATCCACCCTTAGCTTCATTTTAAAAATCTCTGCTTCCCTTCCTCTCTTCGGAACACAATGTGGCCTTTAGCTAAATGTGTCCCCCAAATTGCAATTCCTAAGACCCAATAAATGCCTTGTCTTACTGGTTTTCAGTCTGGTTTTTTGCCTCTTCTTGGTTGACATTAAATGGTGTCAGAAGTAGGACACAAAGCTCTGCATTCTGGCATTGCCACAGATTTGCGCACTGTACTTGCAAGAACCTCTTGTGTCCTATCACCTCCCTGAAGGCCCTGGACCCTGGTGGAGAATCCTCTTATTTCCCTGAACACCCCACCTCAGCTGAGGTTCAGACATTTACTGTGTCTGTCCTTTGCTGCTGGCTGTTGACAGAGGAATTTTCCCATTTTTAGTAAGTACTGATGGGGACCTCTGCTTCTGAGAGTATAGGTGCTGAGTAGCCCTCTTCTAGAATTTATGATTTTCTGTACAAAAATTATGATCTTTTATCTTATAAATTTCTTTATTGAGCCAACATCACTGAAAGTGATTTGGAATTAGAATGGCCAATCTGGGAATCTCTGATCTCCCAAAACTTGTTTTCCACCACAGACAATTAGAAGGGCTAACAGGAAAGATTAAACAGCCTGAGTGGGACATCCACTTTACTTTGGTATCTTGAGGCATCTAAAAGAGTCCAGGGAATCTAAGAGATTCCAGAGATAACAATGCCGGATTAACTCAAAGACTCTCTAAACTAGAAAAAACAAAAAACAAAAAACAAAAAACAAAAAAACAGAAACATCTACTCTGATCCCTCCCGTCCATTGTCATGCTGTATACTCTCTTGCTTACATGTTAAAAACTTATTCTAAACCTGGAAAATTACCTCCTGGGCTTTCCATGAAGAGGCGGCTTATTGGATTGAGTTGCTACTGGAATAACCATACCATTGGAAATTCTAATCATCAGTAGTCGAACCATGGATCTTTAAATTAGAAAAGCTCCCATAAAATATTTTAGATATCTCTCATTCTAAACAGTTGCTTTATTTGTACTCATGGGAGGATCAAATTTTTTAAGGAAGACACGTAATAGGCTGGGTGTGGTGGGTCACACCTGTAATCCCAGCATTTTAGGAGGCTGAGGTAGGAGGATCACTTGAGCCCAAGTGTTCAAGACCAGCCTGGGCAACATACTTATCTTAAAAAATAAAAAAATAGAAAAAAATAAAATTAGCCAGGCATGGTGGCATGGTACCTGTAATCCCAGTTACTAGGGAAACTGAGGAAGGAGGATTGCTTGAGCCCAGGAGTCTGAGGCTGCAGTGAGCTGTAACAGCAGTACTGCATGCCAGCCTGGTTGACAGAGCAAGACCCTGCCTCTAAAAACAAAAATTAGGCCAGGTGCGGTGGCTCACGCTGTAATCCCAGCACTTTGGGAGGCCGAGGTGGGTGAATCACCTGAGGTCAGCGGTTAGAGACCAGTCTGGCCAACATGGTGAAACCCTGTCTCTAGTAAAAATACAAAATTAGCCAGGCGTGGTGGTGGGCACCTGTAATCCCAGCTACTTGGAAGGCTGAGGCAGGAGAATCAGTTTCAACTCGGAGGCTGATGTTGCAGTGAGCCAGGATCATGCCACTGCACTTCAGCCTGGGCAACAGAGTAAGACTCTCTTAAAAATTTTTTTAAAAGGCCAGATGTGGTGGCTCACGCCTATAATCTCAGCACTTTGGGAGGCCATGGTGGGTGGATCATGGCTAATACAAAATTAGCCGGGCATGGTCATGGGCACCTGTAGTCCCAGTTACTTGGGAGGCTGAGGCAGGAGAATCAGTTTCAACTGGGAGTCAGAGGTTGCAGTGAGCCAAGATCATACTGCACTCCACCCTGGGTGACAAGAGAGAAACTGCAACTCGAAAATAAAATAAAATACATTCAAAATTTTAAAAAGACACATAATAGTGTCATGGCTAGCCTTAGAAATTCTCTTGATGAAATTAAATCTGACCTAAAATCCTTTGCATCTTCAAACTGTCTGCTTTGGATTCCCTGTGGAATTTACCCAAAAAAAAAAAAAAAAAAAAAAAAAAGAAAAGAAACTCTATTCTACGGTCTAGTGGAGATGTAAGTCCTTTAATTCAGGAGAAGGAATACTAATTTAAAAACTGGTTTAATATGTGTTTGACTCTTGACTTGGGGGGGCCTTCTATTTTTCTCATGGTTCCCCAAGAGTCATGAGCAGGTTCAAGTCTAACATGTAGACACCTCAACTGACTGTCCTCCACACTCCAAGAAAACCTTTTTAAAGAACGTTCCCAACATTAACCTTTTTCTTCCATTTGAGAGCCTGTCTGCAATGCCATCTTCAGAAATAAGACACAACTGTTTAATTGAACTAATTCTCAGAAATGGGAGGCTGGTTTAATAGGATGTTTTGCCCCCAGCTAAATCAATTTTTCTCTCCACATCCATCAACACAGCTGTTACTGTGTGAAACCTCTATGGGAGTTTCAGAAGGGAATGTTGAGGGGGCAGATGATCCCCCAAACATGGTGATTTGGCATGCTGAGTGCTTTTGAAAACTCAAAGGCTCCAGAAATAAGCCTCAGAATCAAGGTCCTTCTAACCTTGTCTTATTCTTTCTACTCCAAGAGCAAGGAGGGGACTCTCTCTCTGTAATTTTCTTATCTGGCTAAGAAAGCTTCTTACAAAAGAAACACAATTGCATTCTATATGGTCTCTGAAATCTCATTATCTATTTCAGAAAAGAAGACCGAGGAATGACATTTATACATGTTACTAAAATATATGCCTCTTCAGATATACAGCTAATCACCATACAATACTGCAGGCCTCCTTATTAAAATGGCTCTCTTATTACTCAAAGTTCACTAATCTCTGAACCCATACTGCACACTGACTTTCAACAACCCCCTCTGTGAGATAAGACATTCTAGAAACAGGCAGTTCTAGTTCTGGGGAAAAGAGATAACAAATTTGTGACTGACCAACCAACAACTGATCAGCGACGCTTCCTCCTGTCAGATTTTGAGCAAAAGGGGGGAATGTGACATGTGACATGCAAAATGGTATCATTCTGGTCCAGGGCTCTAAAATGGAGTCAGGAGGTCATTCTAAGGACTACCTGCACAACCTGCAATGCTGCAAAACAAAAATAGAAAAACAAGGACTTGCCTTGAACCTCTGAACTGGGCCAAACTACAATGACCACAACATCCTGGAACACAGCTGGATTTTGCCAGTGCTGCAGCTCCTGAGGAGCAACAACCAATGAGCTCAATGGACTCGTGTGCTAAGCCAACCACCTCCACCAATGATATTTTCACAGCAACTTGTGTAATCACTTTAGCTTCCTTTGAAAAATCTCTGCTTCCCTTCCTCTCTTCAGAACACATATTGGCCTCTCCTGAATTGCAGTTCCTAAGACCCCAATAAATGTCTTGTCCAACTGCTTTGCAGTCTGGTTTTCACCTCTTCTTGGTTGACATCAGTAATCAGGAAAATAAAACAAAACTCATCATGAGATATCATTATAGTCTCACCCAAATGGCTACAATTTAAAAGTCTGATGCAGCCAGGGGAAGTGGGGACGTGCAAGAACACGATCCTATGTGCTTTCTCAAGGGTGAGACTCTGGAGAGCCACTGGGCATCACTGAATAAAACTCAGCGACATCTTCCCTGTGTCCCAGCAGCATTAGTCACCTCATAACCCACGGCATAGGGGACACATTCAGAGGTACAGCGTTGGTTTGTAATGATTGCCACGTGGAAACAACCAGATGCTTATTGGCAGTGGAACAGAGACACCAAGGGCAGCACAGTCCACAGCAGAAAACTCCACAGCACAAGTGACACACAGAAATACAGATGGAACTGAGATGCAGAAGGCTGAGTGAAAGGCCACATGTAAACCACTGATTTACTTACAGTTCAAAAGCAAAGCTAAACTATGTTGTTTAGGCTTTGAAGTGGGAAAGCTAGAAAGAAAAGCAACAATGAAAAGGCTACATAACTCAGGGTTGCGGTTTTGGCAGCAGGAAAGGGGTTCTGAAAGGAAACGCACCCAGGGCTCTGGAATCCTATGCTTTGAGCTAGGTGATGGTTATATTGGGGTTTCCTTTAAACATTTTATTTTAAAGATGATCCTGCCATGTGGTTTAGTCTTTTTAAAAAATTTGTGCTGATGTATGAGGTACATGAGAAAATGTATGACGTGTATATAATGTGCAGTGGTCAAGTGAGGGTACCCAGAGTGTCCATCATTTGATACAATACCTTCTTGTTAAGTATGGTCATCCTACTCTGCTACCAAACACTGAATTCCTTCCTTTTATTTTACTGTATGTTTGTCCCCTTTAACCCGTTTCTCTTCCTCTTCCCCTCACCACTGCTCACCCTTCCCAGTCTATCTATTTTTCCACTCTCTACCTACATGTTTTCTTTATGAAAATTGAAGTAGAGCACTGTTATGTATTTTTTCATTCATCTTTACACATCTCTCTGTATTTTTAGTTTTCAAGAAACCCAAGATTTCTTTCACCAAACTACAGGGAGCAATGTCCCTGTAAGAAAAACTTAACTTTTAAGAAGGATTAGGAGGCTATATTAAAGCACTCTCCGACACACATGCACTAGATGCAATGTTGTTTAAGTCTTTTCAATGCCTTGTTCTCCCCTGCAGGAGCCAGAAAGAGGAAGACACACTGTCAACATCAAACAAGAAAGAGAAGAAAAGTAGAATCTACTCTCGACCTGCCTCTGGGAACAACTCTCCCATGTAGGGAAGAGATAACAAGTACAAACCGTCTGAAATAATTACTTACCCCAAGAAGTGAGGATGTCTTCTCCATCTCTTCTTTGTTCACCTGAATGGCGTGGCTTTCCATCACTGTGATTCAAAACCCAAACCAGATCATACTTGCATTACTGAATCCTTTTACTAAACACCAAAATGCTTCGCTCCCTGATGAGAATGATAATGACTGCAACTGCCATTTACTCAGCACCTGCTGCATGCCAACCTCTCAACGGGATCTGTCAGGATCCCTGTGTCATACAGGCAAATGGGCGCATTGACAGAGCTGGCCTTTGAAGTGGGAGTGGGCATGGGGACCACACTGGCCAGGCTGGCCCTTCCCACGCTGTGAATGCTCCCTGGCTGAGGTGGTGCCCATCAGGACCTGCGTCAAAGGCAAAGGCAGAAGACAGCCCTGCAGTGGTTCTTGCAGGAAGGTTCTCAAGGCATAAGGATAGCAAACCAGAAGAAGAGGCAACCATTAGCATATAAAACATCTAAAGAAGTCTACTCCTCCTGGGTCAGATAGCACAGCAGGGATCCCCTATTACCAAAATGTCAGAGCCTCCAGTCTTTCCACACCAAGAGGGAATGCAGTCCAACCTCTCATTACAGAAAGGGAAAATAATAGGCTTGCTACCTCTCCAGTGCCCATGAGACATACTATCTACTTCTAAGTAAGTTACAGAGAAATATTCATCACAAACAATGTGAAGAATCCTCTAGAAAAATGACTGTACTTCATCTTTATGGTAACTTACCTGCCAAAATTGGTATCAGAGGAAGCTCCAAAGTACAAAATAGTTGCCATAAACCATAATCCTGTTTAATAGGAAGAAGTAACATCAATGTCAATTTAAATATTATTGTATCTGCATTTTGTTGAAAAGCCTTTTTTTTTTTTTTTTTTTTTTTTGGAGACAGAGTCTTGCTCTGTAGGCCAGGCTGGACTGCAGTGGTGTGATCTCAGCTCACTGCAACCTCCACCTCCCCATTTCAAGCAATTTTCTTGCCTCAGCCTCCTGAGTAGCTGGGAGTATAGGCACCCCCGCACCATGCCAGGCTAATTTTTTTTTTTTTTTTGGTAGAGACAGAGTCTCACCATGTTGGCCAGGCTGGTCTTGAACTCCTGACCTCAACTGATCTGCCCACCTCGGCCTCCCAAAGTGCTGGGATTGCAGGCGTGAGCCACTGCGCCCGACCGAAGAGCCTACTTAATTCTGCTGAGCTAGAATTAAGGCGACTCCTATCATGGGCATGTTTGATCTCCTACAACCTCTACTCCTCTTGCTTGCTCTTCCTAATACACTCTTATTTCCTTTAAGTAGGCTATTTTATTACCAAGATCTAGTAGAGATATTTAGAAATATAGATAGGTTCAACTCAAACATTAGAAGTGGAAAGAAAGAAATAAAAAGAAATATCTGATAGGCCAAGTCCATCCTCAATTTTCTTTACTTTTTTTCATTTTTAAGATTGATTTAAGCATTTGTGGACTTTTAGCCTTCCATTTTAATTTCAGAATAGGCTTACTGAATTCCCCAAATTTGCCAATAATTCTCATTGGTTTTTCACTGCCACTATGTGAATGTTAATTTGGGGAACATTAAATCTTTATTCCAGGCCACCTCCTGAGAGCATGGAATCTCTATTTATCTGTGTCCTCCTGTGCTCTTCATGAGTCTCATCATTTTTATTTTTCCTGCTGCCATGAGACAGTCCCGGGCTCCATCCTCCGACTCTTGCCCTCATGTTCCCTCCTGCCCCTGTAGACTCATTCTCTCCCCTGCCCCTGCCCATAGGGCAGGGCAGGCCCCTCCAGGCCACATCACCTGGACCACTCATCTGCTCTCAGACTGGGCGCCAGTAGGGCAATGAGGGCAGGAGGGAGGGAAACAGGCTGAGTTACTGCCTGTCCCTGGAGGCTTCTCCTTCTGGCTGCTGCTCCTCACCCTCCCTCACCTCCAGACACCCCTCCATTCAGCTCTTCTTGGTTGTTCACTGAAGTGGCTGTCTGCTTCCCAGGAAGACTCTGGTTGAGTGAAGCTATGTCCATCCCACAATTAATCAAAATTAATGCTCAGCTTTTACATTAACTATGGCATTGGAAACATCCCACTTAAAGAGAAGGCTTTAAAAAACATTTCAATTGTTTTCAACCTACAGAAAGCATTTTTAAAACTTCAGGTCTTATCATTTTAGACTACCCTTTTCTGAGTGATGCACAGGTTAATTTGTTCTTAGAACTCAAGGTTTTGTTTCCTTCGCATTCAAACATAGTGCAGCATTGCTCCCTGGGAGAACAGGTGTGAATGAAAAGACATCTCCTGCGAGCTTCTGTCAGCCAGAAATTATAATAAAATGCCTTGCCTTCAGTTTAGAGCAAAGGTCCATCGTAAGTCTGTAGAGTATCTTCAGGTTCTCACGTACGTTCTGATTCTTTAAAAGAGCAAAAGTGTTTTTAAAAATCAGATAAACTTGGTGGTAGTGCTCATCACAGTCTGGAACTGGCACAACTTGAACAATTTTTCCTAGGAAAATCCCATGGGGCTTTCAGTGGCAGATGTCATATATGTGGTAGTGTGTCACCCAAAACCTCAACTGAACAAATCTCCATCTACATAGAAAGTGCTTCTACTGTGCAAGCGCAGGCTATCCATAGGTGGACACTTCCTCCCAACCTAAGGTATTTCCTTATTTTACAAATCGAGAAACAGAACCACAAAGAAGCCTAGTGCCTCAGGTGCAAGGATTAAATGGTAGCAGGGAGAGGAGAATGCAGACCTGGCCTCTCTCGAGTCCACGGCTCCATTCTATCAGCCTTACTGCCCTGCACCCACATAGAGCTGCTGCCACGTTCCACTTACCCCTCCATTCTCAGCCCAGGAGATGCATACAGAGGCCCTGGGAGATGACAAACATGGGTCTGTGTTTGACTGACAAAGAGGGAGATGGGATGAGATGAGCCCCTCAATACAGAGTCTCATTCTCCTTCCCCTAACATGGAGCCCCAGGACCTCTTCTTCAACACCCCATCCTGCCAAACAAACCCCCCAACTCCAGCCCACTCAGACTCAGTTTTCTGCTAAAGGCTTGAGATTAGAGTGAACATCCCAGTGGACCAGTGGCTGGCCCCACACGTCCCGGCACTGTTTTCCAGTCAACCTGGTTGTGGCTCTCCTGTGAATATCAGGAGAACATCCTATAGAAGAGCCCCTCCACGTCAAGATCTTGGCTGCCACCTGGCAGAATTCTCCACCTCTTTGGAGAGCAGGGTGTTGATTAACCTGTGATCACGTAGATTAATGGCTGGACTTCCATTTCCCACCCTCATCCATGCACTGCATGGCTCAACTACACATATCTGGCCGATGAGACACAAACAGAACTGCATCTGAGGCTGCCTCTTTTCCCCCTGGAGTGTGGATGAGTTGAACTCTGGCCTTAATTTGACCCTGAGCAAGGCACATGTACCTTTCTACACTTCAGTTTTCTCATCTGTAAACTGGAACTGATAATTCTGAGATGGACAACTATTTCTTCCTACTATGTCAGCTTCTGTTTGGAGAAGTATCCCTGCCTGACAGCATGGATTCTGGGTAGGAATATAATCAAGAAGCCCTGCCTCCCTGGTGGGGTGTAGACAATGTTACAAGAGAGGGAAAGAAAACCCTGTCCAAGTGCTGAAAGTACGACTTTTGGACAGAGAAAAGGTCATGGCTCAGTGCTGCCAACATGCCTACTGGTTCCAGCTCCCTGGGTCCCAGGGCCGCCTGGCTCCTGTTCTTCCCAAGGCCTGGTACTGCTTTTCCTCTGATTCTGTGAGTTACCCCATATCCTTCTGATAAGTCTCTTTTTATATTAAGGGAGAGTGTATTTTCAAAGCTCTACTGGTACAAATCTTCACATCATAGATGATCTGTGAGGATGAAGTGCATGAACCAAATATCCCCAGCTCAGTGCCCAGTGCCTGGCATGGGCTTGCATCACCTCTTACTCCTAGGTCGGTGCCTGGCACTCAGCACAGGTTCACGTCACCTCTTACCCCCAGCTCAGAGCCCGGCACATGGCATAGGCTCACATTACCTCTTACCCCTAGCTCAGTGCCCGGCGCTCAGCAAAGGCTCAAATCACCTCTTACCCCCAGCTCAGTGCCCGGCGCTCAGCACAGGCTCACATCACCTCTTACCCCCAGCTCAGTGCCCAGCGCTCAGCATGGGCTCACGTCATCTCTTACCCCCAGCTCAGTGCACAGCACATGGCACAGGCTCACGTCGCCTCTTAGCCCCAGCTTGATGACTCACACAGGCACAGGCTCACGTCACCTCTGGCTTTGTTCTGCTTGCTCAAGCTAGCTCAGTAGCCTGTGTGTTCCTCCAGCAGTGATTTTACCATGTAACTGTTCACTGACAGCTAACTAGACAGCCTCAACTGAGTGGCCCCAACTGTGGCCACACTGCCACCACTAGACACCTCTCCTCTGGGGCCTGCTGAGAGGTCTCTCTCTGGGTTCCAGGCACATTTCTAGAAGTTTTGAGTGCCACTGTTTCTCTGATGGTGCTTCCTGATAACCAGAGGCATCTCTAGCCAGGAAGGTCCTGGAGAGAGACTCAAGACAGTTCTTTTTTTTTTTTGGAGACAAAGTCTTACTCTGTTACTCAGGCTGGAGTGCAGTGGCATGATCTCAGCTCACTGCAACCTTCACCTCCGCATTCAAGCAATTCTCCTGCCTCAGCCTCCCGAGTAGCTGGGACTACAGTCACGTACCACATGCTTGGCTCATTTTTGTATTTTTAGGAGAGGGGGTTTTGCCAGGTTGGCTAGGTTGAGTCTTGAACTCCTGGCCTCAAGTGATCCGCCCACCTTGGCCTCCCAAAGTGCTGGGATTACAGGTGTGAGCCACTGTGCCCAGCCTCAGACCCAGGGCAGTTCTGACCATTCTCTCCAGACAGACTGAAGAGGGGCCATCCCAGGACTCCGGCACTGTGGCCATATCACAAGCACTAAGAATTTACTGATGAGTGGCTTTCTGCTCATGGAGCAGGTGACACTGACACCAGAGACTTGTCTGGAAGAGTCGCACCATGGACAGATTTCTGGAACAGGTTCCATGGAAGAACAGCCATCGCCCATTCTTATTCAACATCCTCCACCAGAAACACCAAGGTCACAACTCTTTGTGCTGAATAGCTCAATAAGTGAAAATGAATGTTGACAATGTTCTTTTTACTATTAGGCTATCAATAAAATTGAAAAAGCTTCCAGAAATAATAGTATGAATTCAGATTGATAAAACCATAAACAACTTACCACAATGTTTCTTGAGGAATTTCCATATGTGCTGCTCACTTTAACCGTAATGGATTTGTCACAGTATTTTTCTACTAAATCTTCAAAAGAGGGTGCAGCATCACTAGGATCTATAAGCCATGCAGCAATTCTGGGATCTAGCCCTACAAAATCAGCAACTGAAGAGAAAAAGGTCATTCGATCATCCCAAGAAAAACCAATAGTTGTTTCTCCTGCTTTGACAAGATACTTAAGTTCAAATGAGTAATAATAGTATAATCATCCTCTCAAATTATAGAGCTAAGGACCAAAGTGACTCTCCATCATTCTCCAGAACTTAGAACCTTTGATAAGGCCGCCTAAACCAACCCAAGTCCCGTGTGGCCCATCTCTGTGGGTGTCATATTAAAGAAGCAGATTTCAAATAGCCATAAAGAAGGGTCTGCAAGCTCAATTGCAATTTGGATCTCTCAAAAACACGTTAAAAGCTGTCAGTCAGAGTGCTGGGCCACGCTTCCTGCCTCCCCTCCTCCTTGCTCCTCTTTCCCTCAGGCATCCTTTCTGCCAAGTCCTCCCCTCCTCCAGCCTCACTGGGCAGTCTTGCACCATTGAGTCTGGAATCCAAGCCTCTGGAGCAAAAGGAAGAAGGGCAGGAGTTGCCTGAGTACATGACACCCCAAGGCAAAGACGCTTTGGCATTCTCCCTGAAGAGTGGAAAATCCACAAGACAACTAATACGCAGCACCTTGGTACTGTGGAAGGAGCACTGGGCCTGGATTCTGAATCACCCTATGAGCCTAGGAGGCCACCTCTCCCCTTCAGTGTTAGTTTCTTCATTCAGAAACCGGGGGAAAAGATTACTGTAATTATCTGTGATATACATGAGAAAATACTTTCTAAAAAGTAAACACAGTATTTGCTAAACAGATAAGCTTTTATAACAGAACACTCTAGACATGGAGGGAGATTCATAAAAGGATGGGGAGAAGGCTTATAAATTAATAGACAAACTAAATCCTAAAGTGACTGCTTTTTAAGTTACTTTAAAATTCTGAATTGTGCTACACAAAAATAAGGAGTTTGCCTTTAAATAAAACTATAGTCTTAAATCATATAACATTAAATATTATATGGTCCAGCATATTTAAATGATACCAGTCTAAGAGATTTCTATTTACCAAGCAGCCAATATTATAACTTTCTCATTTGAGGTCCAGGAAGACTCTTACAGTGGCACATTTGGAGCTCTGGATAAGACGAGTCAGTGGTCCCCTGGCTACCTGCCACCTCTGTCAGCGGCCCATGATTTTCTACAACACTGTCTGGTGATAAGGACTGACCCAATAGGACTGTTTCATTCCACTTGCCTTTTCAATGATCTAATATTCCAAAAGTAACAGTACTTATCAATATATATTTTAAAAAATCCTTGGGGAAGCCGTGACAGTACAGGAATGCTCTGGGAAATGTCCTGTCCCTATAATCTCTTGCAACTGACAAACTTAAGTCTGCCAGGACAAATCCCACACTAGGGAGAAAATGCCAGTAGCTAGAAAAGAAATGCTAACAAAATAAGATTTAAAACAAGCTCAAAAATATTAGTAAATAGTAAATGCTATGAAAAAATAAATAAATCAGAATTATATACTTAGAAATTAGGTAACTTTGAAAAAGAAAAATTATACAAAGAAATGAGACAATCCAGGAGAGAAAAATTTTAAAAAGAGACATTTCAGAAATAAAAACTAAACTGGCAAGACACAAAAGCAAATAAATAGAATAGCTAACTCCTTAAAGAAAAAATGAAAAGATGAAAAAGAAGGAATTTTTCGTTTGTTTTTTTGAGACAGAGTCTTGCTCTGTTGCCCAGACTAGAGTGCAATGGCACAATCTCGATTCACTGCAACCTCTGCCTCCTGGGTTCAAGTGATTCTCCGTCTCAGTCTCCCAAGTAGCTAAGATTATAAGCGCCTGCCACCACACCCAGCTAATTTTTGTAATTTTAGTAGAGATGACGTTTCACCATGTTCGTCAGGCTGGTCTTGAACTCCTGACCTCAGTTGATCTGCCCGCCTTGGCTTCCCAAAGTGCTGGGATTACAGGGGTGAGCTACCACACCCAGGCACTTCTTTTTCTTTTCTGAGACAGGGTCTCACTCTGTCATCCAGGCTGCAGTGCAGGATCAGGCTGGAGTGCAGTAGTGTGATCAGCCTCCGCCTCCTGGGAATCAAATTCAACAGAACTTAAAAATAAAATAAAATAAATTGTAAAAAATTAAAGAGACTGAAAATGGATTCTGGATAAAAAATGATAAATATGACAAAAAGATAAACATGAAAGACAGGCAAGAAGATTCAACACATGAAATCAAAGAAAAAAACAAACGAACACAGCACTAAACACTGTAATTCAAAATGACTTTACACACTTAAAGACATATGCGTGATCAGTACAGTATAGTATTGACACAGAATAGACCTACAGATCAGTGGAACAGAACTAAGAGTCTAGAAGTAAACCCATACATCAATGGTTAATTGATTTTCAACAAAGGTACTAAGATACCTTTGTTGGTGTTGGATACCAACAGTGGGTTGAATTGTGGTCCTCGAAAGATGTCTGCACCCAGAACCTCAGAATGGGAACTTACTTGAAATAAGGCCTTTGCAGATATAGTTATGGTAGGAATCTTGAGATGAGATCATCTTAAGTTAGGGTAGGCCCTAAATCCAATGATGGGTATCCTTGTGAAAGACAGAAAAGAAGGTGATGTATAGAGACACGCAGAGGGAAAAGCCACATGAGGGTGGAGGCAGAGACTGGAAGGATGTGTCTACAAGTCAAGGAGTGCCAAGGACCGCCAGTTACCACCAGAAGCTGCAGGAGAGTCACAGAATGGATTTTCTCTCAGAGACTCCAGAAGGAACTGGCCCTGCCAACACCTTAATTTGGACTTCTGGCCTCCAGAACCGTAAGAAAATAAATTTTTGTTGTTTTGAGCACTCAGTTTACGGTAATGTTACAGCAGCCCGAGGACACTAATACAGACCCCTACCTCACATCATATGAAAAAATTAACTAAAAATGGATCATAAGCCTAACCTCAGAGAGAAAATGATTAAACTCTTAGGAAAAAAAATGAGTAAATCTTTCTGACCTTGAATTAAACAATGGTCTCTTAGATTTAACACCAAAAATACAAATGACAAGAGAAAACACAAATAAATTGAATTTCCTTTAAAAAAAAAAAGTGTGCTTCAAAGGACATCAACAAACTATAAAAACATAAATCACAGATTGAGAGAAAATATTTGCAAATTGTATTAGAATATATAAACCTTTTTTTTTTTATGGAGTCTCGCTGTCACCAGGCTAGAGTACAATGGGTTCTAGAGTGCTAGAACCTGCAACCTCAGCCTTCCAGGTTCAAGCTATTCTCCTGCCTCAGTCTCCTGAGTAGCTGGGACTACAGGCACGTGCCACCATGTCCAGCTAAATTTTGTATTTTTAGTAGAGACGGGGTTTCACCATGTTGACCAGGATGGTCTCGAATTCCTGACCTCGTGAATTGGCCACCTCAGCCTCCCAAAGTACTGGGATTACAGGCATGAGCCGCCGCGCCCAGCCAATAATTCTTACAAATAAACAATAAAAAGACAGAAGTTAGACATCACTCTAGCAAGCACATGTCATCACAGACACTCTGCTCTGTACCATGGACAGAGGAGACACCAAAACAAAGAGGCTGGTCAGCTGTACCATGTTGGAGGAGTACCACATGTCCCCTGGGTATGAACTCCCAGCTAGCCTTCCCATACTGTCAAGGTATACCCTTACAGACTTTCCTCAGCAGGGATGGCCAGTGCTCTGAAGTTTGCTAGAGCCGAGGCACACCTGGGCTTAAGGTGCCATCTAGTGACAAAAAGGAAGAAAGGACCTAGCAAAAAAGAAAAGATATTCCAACAGGTATACAATATATAAAAATCTCTGAGCAAACATATCCAATAAAAAAACAAAACAAGCCAGAAAGAGAAGATTGGAAGAAAAACCTAATCCTTCCATGCAAAGAAACAGACGCATCCAAAAGAAATAACAGCAAGCGGGGAACCAAGACCTCCTCGAACCAGACAAAGCAAGAAGCCAGTGACTGACCTTAACAGGATGGTGATAGAGAAGCTCTTTGATCAATAATTCAAAACTGCAGTTTTAAGGAAACTCAGTGATCTCTAAAATATCATGGAAAAACCCAGAAATTTATCAGAAAAATTTAACAGAGATTGAAATAATTTTAAAAATCAAACAGAAATCCTGGAACTGAGAAATATATTTGCTGAGCTGCAAAATTCATTAGAGGCTCTCAACAGCAGAATGGATCAAGCAGAGAAAAGAATCAGTGAGTCTGAAGACAGGTTATTGGAAAAGACACAGAGGAGAAAAAAGAAAAGAGAGAAGAGAAATGAAGAACACCTATAAGGTATAGAAAATTGCCTCAAAAGATCAAATCTAAGAATTATTGGTGTTCAAGATAAAGCAGAGCAAGAGCAAGGAGTAGAAAGCTTATTCAAAAAATAATAACATAAAATTTCCCAAATGTTTTTTTGGTTGTTTTTTGTTTTTGGTTTTTAGACAGAGGTTTGTTCTGTTGCTCAGGCTGGAGTGCAATGGCTTGATCTTGGCTCATTGCAACCTCTGCCTCCTGGATTAAAGCGATTCTTCTGTCGCAGCCTCCCGAGTAGCTGGGATTATAGGAATGTGCCACCATGCCTAGCTCACTTTTGAATTTTTAGTAGATACAGGGTTTCACCATGTTGGTCAGGCTGGTCTCGAACTTCTGACCTCAAGTGAATCACCTGCCTCAGTCTCCCAAAATGCTGTGATTATAGGCATGAGCCACTGCATCCGACCCAAATCTTGAGAAAGACATAAATATCCAGGTACAAGAAGGCCAGAGATCACCAAACAGATTAAATTCAAATAAACTATCCTAATGCATATATTAAGCAAGCCTCCAAAGGTCAAGGACAAAGAAAGCACCCCAAAAGCTGCAAGAGAAAAGAACAAATAATGTATAAAGGAGCTCCAATCCATCTGGCAACAGATTTCTCAATGGAAACCCTAGAGGCCAGGAGGATGTGGGATATTATATTCAAAGTGTTGAAAGAAAATAAAACTGCCAGGCTCAGGGGCTCACACCTGTAATCTCAGCATTTTGGGAGCCCAAGACAGGAGGATCACTTCAGGCTATGAGTTCGACAGCAGCCAGGACGACATAGTGAGACCCCTGTCTCTAAAAAATAAAAATAAAAAAATTAGCTGGATATGGTAGAACACACCTGTAGTACCATCTACTTGGGAGGCTGATGAAGAAGGATCACTGGAGCCCAGGAATTTGAGGTTACAGTGAGCTATGATCACATCACTGCATTCCAGCCTGAGTGACAGAGGGAGAGACCCCATCTTCTCAAAAAAACAAGAACAAAAGACAACTGCCAACCACGAATTCTGTGCCCAGCAAAGCTATGCTTCAAACATGAAAAATAAAGCCCCAAACAAAAACTAAGGAAATTAATCACCACCAGACCCATCTTCCAAGATATGCTAAAAGGAGTTCTTCAATCTGAAAGAAAAATACATGAACACGAAAAAAGAAAACATTTGAAAGATTAAAACCCACTGATAAAAGTAAATACATAACTCAGCATACTCTAACACTGTAATTCTGGTATGCAATCCACTCATAATTCCAGTATGAGGATTAAAAGATAAATCTATAAAAAACCGTAATAGCTATAGCAACCTGTTAAGAGATGGGCAATATAAAAACACATAAATTGAGGCACAAAAAGTCAAAATGTGTGTAGGGGGTGGAAATTAAGTGTAGACATTTTTTAGTTTTTCCTTTATTTGTTTCTATTCTCTTCTTTGTAAATAAAGATAAGTTGTCATCTGTTTAAAATAACTTGTTATAACTCTAAGATGTTTTTTGTAAGGCTCCTTTTTATTTTTCGTGTATTTGTTATTGTATTTTGTAACCACAAAGCAAAAACCTATAATAAATACACTAAAAACAAAAAGCAACAAATTAAAACATACTACCAGAGAAAATCACTTAACCACAAGTAATAAAATGGCAGTAATAAGTCCTCACTTACCAATAACATTGAATGTAAATCGACTAGATTCTTCAATTAAAAGACAGAGAATGGCTGAATGGATAAGGAAATAAGACCCAACTATTTCCTGCTTACTAGAAACCCATTTTACTTATAAAGACTTACATAGAATAAAAGTGAGGGAATGCAAAAATTAATATTGTTAAAATATCAATGTTACCTAAAGCAATTAAAGAGTAAATGCAATCTCTATCAAAATACCAATGACATTCTTCACAGAAATTGGACAAAAAGCCTAAAATCTGTATGGAACCAAACACCCTGAATAACCAAAGCAATCATGAGCAAAAAGAACAAAGCTGGAGGAATCAAACTGCCTGACTTCAAATTATATTACAAAGCTATAGTAACCAAGACAGCATGGTACTGACATAAAAACAGACACATAGACCAATGGAACAGAATAGAAATCCCAGGAATAAATCCACACATTTACAGCCAATTCATTTTTGACAGGTGCCAAGAATATATATTGGGGAAAGTTTATGGGAAAATCACATGTAGAAGAATGAAATTAGACTCCTAGTTTAGTTTAAGGACTTAAATCTAAGACCTGAAACTATGAAACTTCTGGAAGAAAACACTGGGAAAATGCTCCAGGGCATTTGTCTGGGCAATTTTTTTTTTTTACTAAAACCTCAAAAGCATAGGCAACAAAAGCAAAACTAGGCAAATAAAATTACATCAAGCAAAAGCTGTACAGTAAAGGAAACAACAGAGTATGGAGACAATCCACAGAATGGAAGAAAATATTTGCAAACTATCCATCTGACAGGGGATTAATAACCAGGATATAAAAGGAACTCAAACAGCTCAATAGGGAGAAACATGATTTTAAAATGACAAAAGATTTGAATAGACATTTCTGAAAAGAAGATATACAAAAGGCCAACAAGAATATTTTTAAATGCTCAACATCACTAATTATAAGAAAAATGCAAGGAGGCCAGGCATGGTGGCTCATGCCTATAATCCCAGCACTTTGGGAGGCCGAGGCAGGCGGATCATGAGGTCAGGAAATTGAGACAATCCTGGCCAATATGATGAAACCCCATCCCTATTTATAAAATAAATAAATAAATAAAAATACAAGGAAAGGCACAATGAGATATCATCTCACCCCAATTTAAAATTACTTTTATCAAAAAGATAAGGAATAAGAGATACTAGCGAGGATGTAGAGAAAGGGGAACCTCATACACTATTGGTGGGAAAGTAAATTAGTACAGCCACTATGAAAAACAGTATTTTTTTTCTGATATATAATAGATATATGTATTTTGAGACAGAGCGAGACTCTGTCTCAAAAAAAAAAAAAAAAAAAAAAGATTGGCTGAAAATTGATAATTGCTAAAACTGGGTGATGGCTACTTTTGCATGTGTTAGAAATTTTTGACAATAAAAAGGGTTTTTTCCAGCCTTTCATTATGAACATTTTCAAACATACAGATAATTTGAAAAGAATTATACAGTGAACACATATGTCCACCACCTAGATTCTACAACGAATATTTTTGCTATTTGTTTTTACTGCTTATATATTTGTTTTACCACCCATCTGTCCTCTACCTCCCGGGTTCAAGCAATTCTCCTGCCTCAGCCTCCTGAGTAGCTAGGATTACAGGCGTGCATCACCACGCCTGGCTAATTTTTGTATTTTTAGTAGAGAGAGGTTTTCACCATGTTGGCCAGCCTAGTTTCGAACTCCTGACCTCGTGATCTGCCTGCCTCAGCCTCCCAAAGTGCTGGGATTACAGGTATGAGACACCGCGCCCAGCCGTGTCCATCTAGTTTTTTAAAAGTTTACTATTTTAGGCCAAGTGCAGTGACTCACACCTGTAATCCCAGCACTTTGGGAGGAACTGAGGCAGGAGGATGGCTTGAGGCCAGCAGTTTGAGACCAGTCTAGGCAACAAAGTTGGGCCCCATCTCCACAAAATAATCAAAAAATTAAAAATATATATATATATGTGTGTGTGTGTGTGTGTGTGCACGTGTGTATTTAAAATCTTTACTATTTTAAATAAAAGGTAATCCTATATTGTTTTGACGTTAATTACTCTTGACCGTACTTTAATTTTTAGAAAGTTTATAAGCTATTTGTGGTAATAACAAATCTCACTGACCAGGCTACATAAGTTAATTCTTTCCTATTTTAAATTATGAAAGTAATATATACTTGTAAAAATTCAAATAAGCTGGAAACATAGGGGAAAACTGCCCCCCCATGCTTACGGCCCGTGAGGACGCATAGTAGTCTGTGAGGCAAGGTCCCGCAGGGGTTGTGTGCCATGGCTAACCTCACCATTCTCCTATTCATAGGAGGAGTCCCAGTTGAAGAGTTAAATTATAGAGAGAATAAAAAATAGAACTTACCATGTTTCCAACTGCCATCATTACCGAAAAACTGCAGCACTATTCTCACAAAATCCTTAGCATTAAAGCAAATAACAGGACATTTACATTTCAGTGTTTGAAACAGCACATTCCTAGAAGATGAAAAGAAATTCACTGATTTAAACATTAATTTAGAACCTCCAAACTTGAAAAAATATTACTACTACTCAACTAATAGCTATCATTTAGATAGTACATATATACATTAACTAAAGAATCCCAAGAGGTTGGTATTATTCATTATCTGTGCTTTACAGATGATAAAACTGAGACACAGAGAGACTAAGTAAGGTATTCAGGGTCACACAGCTGCCAAGTGCTTATCCCTGTGTAACACCCCATTACCTGCAGAATAAGACCTACATTTCTGAGCAGGATACACCTATTCTGGGCTCTTTAGAGCCAGGCCCCAAGATGACTCTCTAGCCTGTTCTCCCAGAACTCCCCTCAAACATTCTACCCTCTTGTCCCACTGAATTCTCTTTCCTCTACCACCAGGCTGTGCCATGTCCTATTCTGCTCCTGGGCCAAGGCACATACTGTATTCTTGCCTACAATTCTCTTCTCACAACTTTTGCAAACTGTTCAAGGGCCATCTTCAGGAGGGTATGCCCTAATTCCCCAGGCAGGGGGCTGCTCCCTCTTCTGTATCTCTTCTATACTCCTGTCCACACACGTAGTTCAGTAGGAACACACATGCTGTATTATAATGTACCTTGAAAGTTTGTTCTCTCCATTTTTTTTTTTTTTTTCCTGAGACGGAGTTTCGCTCTTGTTACCCAGGCTGGAGGGCAATGGCGCGATCTCGGCTCACCGCAACCTCTGCCTCCCGGTTCAGGCAATTCTCCTGCTTCAGCCTCCTGAGCAGCTGGGATTACAGGCACGTACCACCATGCCCAACTAATTTTTTGTACTTTTAGTAGAGACGGGGTTTCACCATGTTGACCAGGATGGTCTCGATCTCTTGACCTTGTGATCCACCCGTCTCAGCCTCCCAAAGTGCTGGGATTACAGGCATGAGCCACTGCACCCGGCCCTGTTCTCTCCATTATAACACAAACACTTTGACTATGGGATTCACAATTGTTAAAACTGACTGAATACTTACTATGTGCCAGATACCACAATGAACACTTCGCAGCATTGCGTGTGAAGTGATTGTTGCATTGAAACCTCATCATGATCCTATCTGACATGCACTAGAACCATTTTACAGATGAGGAAGCTTAGTCTTAAAGAGGCTAAGCAATTTGGCCAGGGTTAAATGACTAATAAATCGCAATGCTGGGATCTGAGACCATATCCTGCTGCTGCCAGGGCCCAAACTCTAAGCTACCGAAGCCATCAGTCCCTCCTTATAGTAAATGCTCATTAATATATTAATGAGGTTCTTTGGTTAGAGCTGAGAAAGAAAGAAATCGAGAGCCTACTGAGCTTTGCACACTTAGCCAAACTGTAGTTAAATTTTGCTTGGACTTGTTCCAGAGAAAGACATTTGTTGGCTTTTTCCATTTTATGTGATTTCACCTTGGTTTTCCTTGAAAGGGGCAGCCAGGATGGTAGGTAGGGTAAAGTGCCAATAACACAACTTCAGATATTGGCTTGGTTGGAGTGGGGAGGAGGGTGCCCAAGAGGAGAGAAGGGAAAGAGGGAGTGAAGAACATATGAAGGAGAACTGGGGCCATGCAGCTCACTTCCCTTTGCTGCTCCTTCATCCTTGAAACTCAGAGGTCCGTGATGAGGTAATCTACCAACTAGACTATCTTCCGCTAAGAAGAAGCTAATTGATTTTTATCTTGATAAAACAAAGAAAAAGAATACCTTGTAAGATAAATGAAAACTGGCCTGGCATGGTGGCACATGCCTATAGTCCTAAAGTCCTAGCTACTGGGGTGAGGTTGCTGAGGAGGGAGAATCTCTTGAGTTGGGAGGTTGAGGCTGCAATAAGCCGTGAAATAAAACATATCTATATATATGTATGTACATGCACATGCACATATATATTTATACATATATATATAAGCTAGACTTGAGGCTTTCTCATCTGTAAAATGGAGTGAATAGGCATAACATACAGAGAGAATGTGAAGGTGAAGGAAGAGTGTGTATGTGAAAAGCCCTTGCACAGGTTACTTAATAAATGTTATTAAACATGTTTTGTGCAAAAAAAAATTTAAATGTGATTTATTTACATTTATTAGAATCTCAAAGATATAATCATACAATTAGGATTTTTATTTCCAATTTATGGTGCTCGAGGCAATGTATTAATTTAACTGTCCTAGAACTTATAAAAATTAAGCCTTGGGTGGGAGCGGTGGCTCATGCCTATAATCCCAGCAGTTTGGGAGGCTGAGGTGGGCGGAACACAAGGTCAAGAGATCAAGACCATCCTGGAAAGCATGGTGAAACCCTGTTTCTGCTAAAAATACAAAAATTAGCTGGGCATGGTGGCACATGCCTGTAGTCCCAGCTACTCAGAAGGCTGAGGCAGGAGAACTGCTTGAACCTGGCAGGCAGAGGTTGCAGTGAGCTGAGATCACACCACTGCACTGCAGCCTGGTGATGGAGTGAGACTTTGTCTCAAAAAAAAAAATAACAACAACACTCAACATTCATTCATTCATAATAATATTGAATACTGATTAAGCAATTGCTTTGTAGCATTGTTTTTAGATGTTGGGGATACATTAGCAAACACACTGCTAAACAGAAATGAAAGTTATGTATGTGGGGTTGGCGGTGGGGTGCCATCTCATATAGTGTGGTCAAGGAAGGTCTGATAAGGTCATTCTTTTTTTTTTTTTTATAGACAGAGCCTCACTCTGTCATCCAGGCTGGAGTGCAGCAGCACAAACATAGCTCACGGCAGCCTCAAACTCCTGGATTCAAGTGATCCTCCGACATCAGCCTCTTGAGTAGCTGGGACTGTAGGCACATGCCACTGTACCCGGGTAATTTTTAAATTTTTTGTAGAGATGGGGTCTCACTGTGTTGCCCAAGCTAGTCTCAAACTCCAGCCTCAAGCCATCCTCCCATTTCAGCTGAGCCACTGTGCCCAGCCAAGGTAACTCTTGAGGAAAGATATGAAGGATTAGGTAAACAAAAGCCTACTTGGTGAAGGAAAAGTTCTTTACAGAAAATTTTAGTCACTCTATGTGGAAGAAATGATAGTTAGAAAAATCACGATCTTACTAGCCATCATAAAATAAGTGATTCAGATGATTGTCATCAATGAGCAAAACCACTAAGGGAAAGTTTGGGGGAGAAGCTTATAAGTAAGGGATGGTGCTGACATCGCCTGAACCCGCTCTCCCTCTCAGCACCATGAAAACTGGGACAACCCAACTGCGTCACTAAGGGAAGTCGGGAGGACACCAGTTAAGTTTGAATTTCAGAAAAATCATGAATAATTATTACCTGAAAAAAATTAATATTTTTTTAGAGATGTATTCTTCTAGTATAACTATGCCCCAGGCAATACTGGGGACATACATATACTAAGAAATTAGTTATTTATCTGAAATTCAGATTTGGTATCCCGTATTTTAATTTCTAAATCTGGCCATCCACTTCCATCACTGACGGTATGTGAAGCCTATGGCACCACCTAGGAAGTGTTGTGCAAAACAAGTTGGACCCACATAATCAAGCCTTTAGCACTAACCCCCGTTTATAGGAAATATGGCAAAGAGGAAAGAGAACAAGTTAAAGAACTTCATGATGAGGCAAACCAATGAATCCAGGACATGGGACCTCCACCAAGATGGGGAGAAGGGCTGTGGGGCACTCCAGATTAGAAAAAACAAGAGACATGGCCACCCAATGCTATGTCCTGATCCCAACAAGTCAACTGTAGAAGGACATTTTTGAGACAACCAGGTAACTTTAAATTTGGACTGGGTATAAAATGTATTAAATTTTAAAATGGCATTGTGGCTCTGTTAAAAAAACAAAAACAAAAAAAAAACAAGCCCATAGTTTTTAGAGTTACACCCTCAGACGTGAGAGGGCAAAACAATAGGTTGGGGTTTTCTTTTTTTAATTTATTTATTTTACTTTAGGTGCATACTATATCTGGCATGAGAGTTTCTTTAATCCCAGCCCTCTCTCCCTTCCCCAGGAAAGGGACAGATGACAGAAGTAAGGAAAAACCTTTGATAATGTTGGTCTGGGTGGATGTGTATACCACTCTGTACTTTTGTGTTTTTATAGTTTACTTTCTGTTTGTTCAGAGAAAAACATAAAGGAATGAGGCAGCAAACCATGCAGCTATTTGGGAGAATGCTGCAGGGAGGGCATGGTGGTACCAGGCCCTTGGGTAGAGGCACATGGTCAGGAACAGCAAGGAGGTGGGAATGCACTGAGGCCAGGAGAGAGGAGGGGGTGAGGCTGAAGACAGTAGAGGGGCTGGAGCAAGCAGACCTTGAGGGAGAGGGCCTTCATAGGTCCTGTGGCTTTTCTACACTTGATCGTAGCCAGAAGGCTGAGAAGCAGTGATTTTGGCTTTTCCTCAGAGTGAAGCAGGAACTGTTTGAAGGTTTTGGGCAGGAGAGTGATATGATCTGATTTATGCTATAACAGGCCAGCCCTGGGTGCTGCATGGAAAACAGACTGAAGGGGAAGGTGGAAGCAGGAGTCTAGAATGGAAGTCCTGTGATGCAGTGGGAATAACGGCTTGTGCCGAGTAGCAGCAACACAGTGGATAAGCAGAGGGCAGATTCTAGCTACACTTGAAGGCAGAGCCAATAGGACTTGCTGAGAGCTTGATATGGTTTGTGGAAAGTAGACAGAAGTTAGGGATAACCCCGAAGCTTTTTGCCTAAGCGCATGAAGGGTAGATACTAAGACAGCCAGGCCACAGGAGGCAGGGTCCAGGGCAAGACAGGAGCTCAGTTTGGACATGCTTGCCTAAAATGACCACTAGACATCCAAGTGGAAAACATCAATTAAATTCGGAAATATCATCCAGATATTAGTGCTGTGTCTTCACAAAAGCTCTCCATACACGAGACCTGACCAGTTATTCTCTAAAGAGGAAATTACATAAAAAGAAAATTAAGCGTTCTGTTGGGAGCTGAATGCTATGTTTGTTACACATTGTCCCCTTCTCCCCAAAAGCTACCTAACATCACCCAGAGCCCAGTGAGCCTGTATGAAGCATGAAAGGGCTACTAACGGGGCCCAGCTTCCTCTGGAGCTGCCTTGATCGCCTCTTCAGGGTGGTGGCTCCATGGAACTCCCCCAGGGTGGCTGGCTGGCCTTAAATCAGAGGGCTGGGAAGGCAGCGGATACCTCCATCTGAGGCAGAAGCCCAAGTCAGGTGGATAACCCGAACAAAGAAACAGTGACAAACAGTATAAGAGCCATCCCAGACAGGGCTTTTAGGAATCCAGGAGGGGCAGCCGGAGCAACCCTGCCTGCTCTAAAATTCTGTGATTCTATGAGGGCCAGTCCGAAGAGGTGAGACAGGTCTTGCCTCTTTCCACAGACATGGGGCTTTGAAACTAGTCCCATCCTTGGTGGTAATTCAGGACAATTTATTATTTGCAGGCAGTGATAATTTTGTTTTCTAATGCTGTGAATCAATCAACAAGTATGATAAGGAAACCCACCTGCCAGTGACAGGATTTTCAGGGTCTGGGGGTGATGCTTTTCTCCCCAACTTCTCATTGCAAAGTTGCTTCAGGTCCTGGAGCAGACTGTTCCCACAAAAGAATGGAAACTCCATTCCAGATACTCTCTGGGAGAGAGAGGGTCAGTATTTGCAGAGGTTTCTATCACTCAGATCCATTTTATTTTCATTTGCCCATATAAAACTTCTAAAAGTTTAATTAAAACAGGACCTTAAGAAACTTTACATTCATATAAAGCAGGCATGTCAGTAGGGTGTGAGTTCATGTGTGAAGATTTCTTACCGGGCAAATTGACGATGTGCCTCCTGTTTTTGGTCCCAGAGAACAGAGCGCTCTATTTGAATGTAGATACACGGATCACCCGGCACAAAGCCCTCCAGAACAGGGCCACAGGCCGGGGCATCTGGACACCCACGGCCACCCTCTGCTGGGCTTTTTAGTAACACCACAATTCCTCTAACAGAGGAAATGGGAGTCTGTGGAAACACAACAAAACAAATACAAAACCTAGACTGTTTACAACCATCTCTTGCAGAAAGATACACATTTTAAACTTAAGCAGAGATAAAAAGGCTTCAAATTAAACTTGTAAGCGAATGGCTCTTTTAATGATAATCAAGGCCAAAAGCCAAACCCATGACCTTACCCCAAATCTGGTCTCTACCCTGTCCAACATCAGAATAGACATCTCATCCAGGGCAACATGATAGGAGAAAGGAATAAAGGAGATACATATCAGACAGGAAGCATCATACTATCCCTATAAACAAATGGCATGAATGTCTGTGTAGAAAATCTAAAGGAATGTATAAAAAATGAATCTGGAACTAACGTGAATTTAGCAAGGTTGCAGGACACAAGATCAAACCACAAAAATCTAATATATTTTTATATTCTAACAATAAACCTGTGAAAATAAAAATTTTTAAAACTACCATTTATAAAACTCTAAAAAATGAAATACTTAAAAACTAACAAAATATATACAGGATATGAATGCTGAAAACTACAAAATACTGCTGAAAGAAATCAGAGAAGGCCTAAATAATGAAGACATGTAATACTCAAGGATTTAAAAACTCAAAATAATAAGAAGTTTGTCCTTTCTCCCCAAGTTAATCATTAGAACCAAGATGATCATTAAATCTCAAGTATAAGGAACATGAAGAAAACTACACCAGGAAAAATACATCACAATCATTTTCTTAAAACCAGTGACAAAAGAAGTAGGGGTTGGGGGGTGAGAGAACATATTACATAGATAGGAACCAAGATAAGGATGACAGCAGATTTCTTGTGGAAAATAAAGCAAGTCAGAAGACAGTTGAGTAATATTATGAAACTAGTGGAAGGAAATAAACTGCCAACTTACATTCTTTAGCCAGCAAAATGTCTTTAAAAAAATGAAAGGTAGTTTAGGCAAGGTGGCTTACGCCTGTAATCCCAGTACTTTGGGAGGCTGAGGTGGGTGGATCACCTGAGGTCAGGAGTTTGAGACCAGCCTGTGCAACATGCTGAAACCCTGTCTCTACTAAAAATTAGCCAGGCATGGTGGCAGGCTCCTGTAATCCTATCTACTTGGGAGGCTGAGGCAGGAGAATCACTTGAACCCAGGAGGCAGAGGCTGTGGTGAGCCGAGATTGTGTCATTGCACTCCAGTCTGGGGAAAGAGCGAGACTTTGTTTCAAAAAAAAAAAAAAAAGGTAAAGCATGACTTGCCTGCTACACTGAAAACTATTAAAACATCCCTAAAGGAAATTAAAGTTTTAAATAAATGGAGGTACCCCATGTTTATGGATCAGAAAACTCAATAGTATTATATTAAGATGGCAAGACTCCCAAAATTAATCTATAGATTTAACACAATTTATATCAAAATTCCAGTTGGATTTCTGCATAAATTGACAAACTGACCCTAAAACTGACAAGCAGAGGAAGCACAATACCCAAAAGAGTCTTGAAAAAGACAATGTTGGAGGACTTACTCTTCTTGATTTCAAAACTTACTACAAAGCTCCAATAATCAGAGAGAATTATGAGATCATGGCAGACAGGAGGCAGGACTAGATGGCAGCTCCCACTGGGACAGACAGAGCAGAGTGCGGAGGCTCGCATCGTGAACTTCTGTTCCAGAATGACTGCAGGAATAAATCAGGAAAGCAGAGAGAGCCCACAGACCCTCTGAAGGAAGCAGATTGCAGGACCCAGGAGACACCCCACATACTGTGTTGGTATCTACCGCTGAGAGACCCACAGATGGTTCACATCACAGGACTCTGCAGACAACCCCCGGTACCAGCCTGGAGCCTGGTAGACTTGCTGGGTGGCTAGATCCAGAAGACAGATAACAATCATTACAGCTCAGCTCTCAGAAAGCCATATCCCTAGGAAAATTGGGAGAGTACTACTGCAAGTGAACACCCCATAGGACAAAAGAATCAACAACAGACTTGAGTCCTAGACCTTCCTGCTGACAGGGCCTACCTAAATAAGAAGGAACCAGAAAGCCAACTGGTAATATGACAAAACAGTGTTCTTTAGCACCCCCCAGAAAATCACACTAGCTCACCAGCAATGGATCCAAACCAAGAAATCCCTGATTTACCTGAAAAAGAATTCAGAATGTTAGTTATTAAGCTGATCAGGGAGGCACCAGAGAACAGCGAAGCCCAGTTTAAGGAAGTCAAAAAAATGATACAAGATATGAGGGGAGGCCAGGTACCATGGCTCACACCTGTAATCCCAGCACTTTGGGAGGCCAAGGCAGACGGATCATGAGGTCAGGAGATCGAGACCATCCTGCATCCTGGCTAACACGGTGAAACCCCGTCTCTACTAAAAATACAAAAAATTAGACTGTATGGTGGCATGTGCCTGTAGTCTCAGCTACTCAGGAGGCTGAGGCAGGAGAATCGCTTGAACCTGGGAGGTGGAGGTTGCAGAGTGGGCCAAAATCGCACCACTGCACTCCAGCTTGGGGTGACAGAGAGAGACTCCAACTCAAAAAACAAAAAAACAAAAAACAAAAAAACAAACAAAAAAAAAAAAAACAAAAAGGAAAAAAAAGGGGGGAGAAAGGAAAAAAAAAGAATTTAAAAAAAAAAAAAACAATCAAAACTTCAGGAAACAATGGATACACTTATAGAAATGCAAAATGCTCTGGAAAGTCTCAGCAATAGAATCAAACAAGCAGAAGAAAGAACTTCAGAGCTAGAAAACAAGGTTTTTGAATTAACCTAATCCAACAAAGACAAAGAAAAAAGAATAAGAAAATATGAACAAAGCCTCCAAGAAGTCTGGGATTATGTTTAACAAGCAAACCTGAGAATAATTGGCATTTCTGAGGAAGAAGAGAAATCCAAAAGTTTGGAAAACATATTTGGGGAATAATAAAGGAAAACTTCCCTAACTTGCTAGAGACCTCTTCATCCAAATACAAGAAGCTCAAAGAACACCTGGGAAATTCATTGCAAAAAGACGATTGCCTAGGCTTACAGTCATCAGGTTATCTAAAGTTAAGACAAAGGAAAGAATCTTAAGACCTATGAGGCAAAAACACCAGGTAACCTATAAAGGAAAACCTATCAGATTAACAGCAAATTTCTCAGCAGAAACCCTCCAAGCCAAAAGGGACTTGGGCCCTATCTTCAGCCTCCTTCAACAAAACAATTGTTTCCAGCAAAACTAAGCTTCATAAATGAAGAAAGGATACAGTCCTTTTCAGACAAATGCTGAAAGAACTCACCACTACCAAGCCAGCACTGCAACAGCTGTTAAATTGAATTCTAAATCTTGAAACAAATCCTGGAAATACATCAAAACAGAACCTCTTTAAAGTATACATCTCACAGGATCTATAAAGCAAAAATACAATTCAAAAAATAAAAACAAAAAACCAAGGTATACAGGCAACAAATAGTATGATGAACTGAATGGTACCTTACGTCTCAACACTAATGTTGCATGTAAATGGCCTAAATGCTCCACTTAAAAGATACAGAATTGCAGAACGGGTAAGAATTCACCAACCAACTATTTTCTGCCTTCAAGAAACTCACCTAACACATAAGGACTCATACACTTAAGGTAAAGGCGTAGAAAAAGATATTCCATGCAAAGGGACACCAAAAGCAAGCAGGAGTAGCCATTATTATATCAGACAAACAAACTTTAAAGCAACAGCAGTTAAAAAAGACAAAGAGAGGGCCAGGCTCATGCCTGAAATCCCAGCACTTTGAGAGGTCAACGTGGGCAGATCACTTGAGGTCAGGAGTTCGAGACCAACCTGGCCAACATGATGAAACCCCACCTCTACTAAAAATACAAAAATTAGCCAGGCATGGTGGCTCATGCCTATAGTCCCAACTACTCAGAAGGCTGAAACGGGAGAGTCGCTTGAACCTGGGAGGCAGAGGTTGCAGTGAGCCAAGATCGTGCCACTGAGCTCCAGCCTAGGTGACACGACACAGCAAGACTGTCTCAAAAAAAAAAAAAGGACAAAGAGGGACATTATATAATGACAAAAGGCCTTGTCCAACAGGAAATTATCACAATCCTAAATATATATGCACCTAACACTGGAGTACCCAAATTTATACAACAATTTATAGACCTAAGAAATGGGATAGACAGCAACACAGTAATAGTAGGGGACTTCAATACTCCACTGACAGCACCAGACAGCTCATCAAGACAGAAATTCAACAAAGAAACAATAGTTTTAAACTATACCCTGGGACAAATGGACTTAATAGATACTTACAGAGCATTCTACTCAACAACCACAGAATATACATTCTATTCATCAATGTATGGAACTTTCTCAAAGACAGGCCATATGATAGGCCACAAAATGAGCCTCAATACATTTAAGAAAATTGAACTTACATCAAGCACTCTCTCAGACCACGGTGGAATAAAACAGAAATCAATTCCAAAAGGAACCTTCAAAACCATAAAAATACATGGAAATTAAATAACTTGCTCCTAAATGATCATTGGGTCAAAAATGAAATCAAGTTGGAAATTAAAAAATTCTTCAAGGGCTGGGCGCGGTGGCTCATGCCTGTAATCCCAGCACTTTGGGAGGCCGAGGCGGGTGGATCACAAGGTCAAGAGATCGAGACCATCCTGGTCAACATGGTGAAACCCCGTCTCTACTAAAAATACAAAAAATTAGCTGGGCATGGTGGCCCGTGCCTGTAATCCCAGCTACAGAGGAGGCTGAGGCAGGAGAATTACCTGAACCCAGGAGGCGGAGGTTGTGGTGAGCTGAAATCGTGCCATTGCACTCCAGCCTGGGTAACAAGAGCGAAACTCCATCTCAAAAAAAAAAAAAAAAAAAAAAAAAAAATTCTTCAAAACTGAACGACAATAGTGACACAACCTATCAAAACCTCTGGGATGCAACAAAGGCAGTGCTAAAAGGAAAGTTCATAACCCTAAATACCTATATCAAAAAGTCTGAAAGAACACA